ACCCAGAGGCTCATGGGCAGGAGCTCCCACAGCACCTCTCCAGGGTACAGTCACTTAATTCCCAGGTCAAGCAGAATGGACCTCTCCTTTCTGAGACAACACAGCACCAGACCTCCTGGTGAAGGACGTTAGAAGTAACCGAATGGCATCAGAGGCCACTCTTATTTTAATCTCACATTGATTTAGTACCTTTCCCCACAAAGTATCCAAATCTATGCAAACATAGCAATCACTTCACTCAGCACTGAAATGCATCCTCCTCTGGGATAGAACAAGGCAGCGATTTAACACCACACGGTAACACTACATACAGCAGTGGGCAAATAATACAAGGAAAATGCAGCATCCAGTTGAGCCTGCAGGGGGAATTGCCTTGATGCAGAATGTAATTACCCGACTTGCAGTCCAGCCAGGCACTGGGGTCAATGCCTTTGATGAAAAGCACCATGGGCTCTTCAATGGCTCCAATGCTCAAAGCATCAGCATCCAAAAGCCAGCATCTTCAACAACACAGCACCCCCAGCCCCAGGCTGGAGACTTGCTCCAGCACGGACCATGGGAACGCAAACATGTTGATCAAATTCCAGAGGTATTTTCTCCTCATTGCTTACATCAGACATCTCCCCCTTGCCCTTTCCCGAGCTGCCACCTCCAGGCCTGCTGCTGCTGCGAGTGCATTAGCTGTCTCTCTCTATTGCCCCAATGAGGAGATATACTGCAGAGATCAGACCTGCCATGGCCTCTGTCCAGTTCTACCCCTAGCTATTCTGGGGCCCTACACAGCCCCCTCGTTGGGGGAATGTGTGGGGCCCCAAACCTCTGCAGACGGGCGGGAGGGCTGGCTAAGGGGGCAGGGGGGAACTGCCCTCCAGCACTCACCGGCAGTGCAACTGGAGCCAGGTCGCCTCGCTTCCCACCACCTATGAGTGCAGGCCCAGCCCTGCCCGCAGTCCTTGGGGGAGTGGGGGCAGGGCTGGGGCAGAGCAGGGGCGTCGGCTTTGGGGAAGGGGTGGAGTGGGGGTGGAGCTGGAACGGAGCAGGGCCAGGGCCATGGGGAAGAGGCATGGCAGGAGGTGGAGCAGCATGTAGTTGCATAGGGGACTTTCCTGGTGCCCTACGCAGCTGCGTACTTTGTGTATGAGTAGGAACGGCCCTGCCTCTGTCCCCCAGAGACCTTGTGCTATCTCATGACTACTGCACACTGCTGGTGGCAGGAGTGCTGCATCACAGGAACACAGGTTGTAAGAAAAGCCCATACAAGTGAAAACGATGAACCCCATCTGTTGTCAGAGCTTCCTGTCTGCCGACCTCAGCTGTCCCCTGTGTTTTGCTGGCAAGCTAGGACCTCCCATTAATCACTGCACTATGCCCCCTTCTGCCAACTAGGCCAGTGCCAAAGGTTGTAAGACAGACTCCACCAGGAAATAACCTGGGTGCAGAGCACAAAGCTGCACCTGCACTATCTCTGGGGCAGGAGGTGTTTTGGGTCAAGGCAAGGGTAAAGCAGGGGTAGCTGGGGTGTAGCCAATGAAGACCTGCACCCTGGCAGTCCTACACTCCTGCAAAGCCCCACAGGAGCCATTGCAGCAGGGGAGCAACTTAGGGCAGCCCTCGAGCCTGGCCTACCCTGCAGCAGAGGCTGAACCAGCCCCATATCAGGTGCATCCCTGGTGTCTGGGCAGGGATGAATTTGCCACTTGGAGTGGAGCACATCTAGTGCTTTTACAGGGGGAGTCTTACCTCTGCTGGGAAGGAGCAACACCAGGGTCTGCTGCCAGGGACAGGTGTGTGTGGGGCTGGGAGTCAGCAGAAATTCTCAGCCACGCCCCCTGCTACCCAGCCACTCCCAGGAAGCCAGCTGAGAACAGGCAGCAGAGCTTGCTGGGGTAGTGTCCTTTTCTTCTCTGTTGTCCTGAGCTTAGCAGCCCAGCCTGATGAAGGACACAATGGAGCTGAGGGGGAGGGGACACAATTTTGGCCCATGTTCTATCAGACAAGTAGGTGAAGCACAGTTCTTCTGGGCAATGCAAAGACAGCCAAGTGGCAGTGAGCACACATGCACCTTACACATGCAGTCACCAATCCAGAGCTCTGATTGCCCTACATGCATCTTTCAGACTCACCCAAACCACGCTCCTGGGAGAGGAGAGGTGTGACATAGAGGTCTGAGAACTGGGAGCTAGGAGCCCCAAGTTTGCTTTTCATACTCGTTCTCTTGGTGGATTTAGGCAAGTCACTCACCCTCCTTCTGACTCAGTTTCTTCACCTGTAAAAATGGGCTGATACACTGGAATCCCTATCCATCCACCCAGATGTGCCCGTTAAATAAGGAGATGTAGGGCTTGGCTATCAACTGGAGTTCTCCTCTGGGTCACACTGCACAGCTGGGGTCACACGGGGAAGAGGGAAAAGAGCCTGCTCTCTTCCCACCCACAAAGGGCTTGGGACAACTGTATCCCAGTGCTGGGCGGAATGCAGAGGGACACATCACCCCAAAGGGACATGGCCAGGGTCTGAGTCCTCTGCTCATGCCCCCAGCGCAGGCCATGGAGCTTGGGGGAAGCACAATCACTGGATTGCAGGCTGTTCCCGCTCTGGCAGCAACAACACAGTTTAGCCTTTCATGACTTTTACCCCTCCATCTTCTGCAGCAGTGAGTGTGTGGAGATGGCTGTGCTGATACCCTGCCATCACTTACATTGTGCTGGGAAAGGGTTCAGAAAAACCTTAGGTGGCCAAATATTCAGAGCCAATTATGTCACTAATAACAAAGGTGGCTAAAAGTCAATGTGTAAAAGGGCCTTAGAAACTCAGGGCCAGCTCCTCAACTGGTGTAAATCAGCCTAGCTCCTCTGATTTCCACAGAGCTGAGCCAATATCCACCAGCTGAGGATCTGGCCCTTGGCCTGTATTCAGAGCCATGTGCTACCCCTTCAGTGACAGGGCAGGTCATATCAAATCCCCGCTCAGCTGGGCCAATTACCGAATGTCTGTTGCAAAGGCCATGCTACCCAGGGGCTGTTCTGCAGATGCCATGAGGAGGTTTAGGGGATCTGGAGACGGGACATCTCTTACCCTTAGCTGGGTGTTTCCAAGGGTATGCGTGCGATTACCTGGGGTGGGGGCTTTGCAGTGTGTCCCAGAATGATGGGAATAAAGGAGCAAAATTACCGCCGCGCCCCCCCCCCCCACCATTGCCAGAGACACTTTGGTTTGTCTGCTTTTTTTCAAGTGCATTGATTGCCGGTGAGAGCTTAATCCAGTGTGGAAGACAGACACACAGGTCTCCTCACTGCCTGGGATGATTCTCCCTTCAGGGTCTCCTCTCTGTGCCACTGCCTGGTATAATTTCTGCTTACTGGAAGGGTGATGATGCCACCTGCTGTTCACTGCTAGACATGACAACCCAAAATGTCACAACTTAGTGTGGTGTCCTCCTGCATTTCCATTCAACTTCAAGATGACATAATAGCAAGTAACCTGTTCCTGGCACCCTTTTCTTCCTAGCCTACTTCTGCCCTTTAGACTAGAGCACGATGCAGGAATCCTCTCCCTTTTCAGGGTTTTTTTGGGGTCTCACTGTACCTTCCTGCCTTTGGAAACTCATCTGTCTTCTCAAACACAGATGACCTTCCCCTCTACCCCCCATTTCCTTCCATCCCAACAGCGTGACTCATAAACTCTCTGTGCAGAACCCTTCATGTGATGCCTGTATGCACGCTATAGTTAAGGACTCTGGTAGATACTTTTTTATATGAGAATGTGAAAGCAGCACCCTTTTCCCCATTCAGACTAAGGCCCCAATTAAGGAAAGCACTTAAGCAGGTGCTTAAGTTTTCCTGAGTAGGGATGACTTCCTGAATTGGAGTAAGGATTTCCTAAAAGGAGAAAACATATATCATGTAATAGGGGGAACAAAGAGGCCACTGGATAAAATAAAAAACAGTAATTTGCCACACCACCTGTGTTTGACCTCAGTGCATTGTTAAAGGATCGACTGGCACCATGGTTAATTCAGATTTGGACTGGCCAGAAGTGAACTAAATCAATAGCCACTGCTAATAACACAACTATGTTGGGTAGATGTTTGCTAGAAGAGCATTCCTCCTTAATATGCGGTCTAAAATGACCTGGTAGGATCACCGAGTAGATGACTTTCCCCATGCTGGTCTGCCAATGGACCCCTGTACAGACTTAATGTGAAATTCTGGCCTCAGGGAAGGAGAAGGGGCGGGGCTGGGGGTGAGCGTGCCCCAGCCAGCCCTTCCAGGCCACCTGGCCCGCACTGCTCGGGGCTCCAGCACTGACTTAAATGGCCTGGGTCTCTGGCCACTGCCGCGGTAGCAGCAGCCGGAGCCCTGGGGCAGCTGCTCCGCCCCCAAATTGGCAGCCGGGGCAACGACGTTAAAGCGCTGCCATGGCAAAGGACCCTCTGGTAGTGCTTTAACGTTGCTGCCCCTTCTGCCCCCCGTCGGCGACCCTGCCGGTACAGCCGCCAGTGGGGGAGGCCCGTATCGGCTCACTTTCAGCCCTGAGCGTGGGTAGCAATAGCAGTGATGCTGCAGCAGGAGGGTGGCTGTACCAGCCTACCCCTGTACCCCGGCACCTTGGGTACTCAGCCAGGCAGCTAGCCTGTGCTGAAGTCCCTGCTGCTGCAGCTTCCCTGCTATTTGTACCTACCCTAGCGCCCTCACAGCTAGCATGGGTGCTGCAGTCACCCCTCTGCTTACAGGGTAGCCATACCCTATGAGTTGGAAGGTGTTGGCTAACTCGTGTTACTAGCCTAGTGTGTCCAGGGCAGGTGCCTTCAGCACGTGTTAAACGAATGGAGTTCAAAGATAAGGCTGGCGGTTCAGCCCTCCCCGGTCCGGCCCGGTTGCTGCCTGCGTGTGGATCAATAAGCTCTGGGTGGGAGGGGGGCTTTAAAAATACACACCTAGCCGGGCTCGCCCTGCCAGCCCGGCTCTGCCTCGCCGTGTCTCCCCGCCGCGGCACAGGCAGCCAGGGCGGACAGCTGCCTGTGGAAAGTGTGTGTGTGTGTGTGTGTGTGTGCACGGGCTGTGCGCTGGGGTCCTCGGCAAGGGGAGGCCCCTGTGCGCACCGGCCGGGAGAGCAGCGGCGGCTGCGGCGCGCATGTCTCCGGGCCCGCGGAGAGCCAGCGGGGCGCGGCAGCACCGAGGGAGGTGAGCCTGGGCCGGCCAAGCCCGGCACCCTGCGGGGCTGGAGCGGGCAGGGTCCAGCCATGGGAAGGCGAGACGCGGGAGGCGCAGTGCCCCCCATACGTGCCAGCGGGGAGACTGGCAACCCCCTGCCCTGCTGCTCAGCGGTGCCTGCGGCAGCAGCCCTGCCATGCCCCTGAAGCCGGAGAGCAGGCAAGCAGCATGCCTCTGATCCCTCAGTCCTTCCCTGAGTGCCACTGCGCTCCTTCCTTGCCGGCCTGACCCCAGGCTGTCCCCACTCATGTGAAACACGCCAGGCAGCCTGTTCGGGAGCCCGGCTGCTCCTGGCCAGACAAACCAGAGCCAGCCCTTTCAGCTGGTGGCTGTTAGCTCTTCAACACAAGGGAAGTCTCCCCCATGCTTGCGTTCTCTGCACTGAGCTTCCAGCCTGTGTTAGACTCTTCCTAGAGAACGATGCTAAATGGGATTCATGACGGACATGAGGGAGAGGGGGTATGTCATTCAGTCATTCAACGTTTTTTTAAAAATTACCATGGACCTCAACATTTGTGGAGGGAGAATGGGGGCCATGTCTACGCTGGGCACAATGCAATCAATGCAGCAGCAGAGGTGAAAAGCCCTAATGTTGACAAGGAAAGCTGTGATTTGCATGGCCAAGTTCAGTTGTGGCAAATCATGGTTTTCCTTCTCTATGCTACAGGTTTGCACTGGTGCAGCTACTCTGATTACTAGCCACTGATGACTGAAATCAGGGATCGCTAATCCCTGCGTAGACAAGGGGCAGGGCTCGGAGGCCCCTAAGGGATGCTGGAAGGGAGACCTGTGAAAGGAATGCAGAGCTCTAAGTTTGTTGAAAAGGGGACTTGCATCTCATGTTTGTGTGTCTTTGGTTTCAGACCTCGGAGGTGCTGGGAGGCATGGACTGTGAGCACACAACAGTTCCTCAGGTCACCATTCACGGTAGTCAGCCCTGCAGCAATCTAGCTGTGCCTTAACCTGGCAAAGGAAAAGGGTAGGATCGGACAGATCGAGGATTGTCCATGAGTGAAGGGCCTTGTCAGTCATTGGCAAGCAGGGTGAGGACAGCATGATGGTGGACAGTCCTGCAGAATGTGGCCAGGGAAGGGCGGAGTTTGGCAGAGTCTTTGCTGGTTTTGTATCCACAGAGCTGGCAGCAGTGGCAGAAATCAGCAAGCTTGCTCCTGTACTGAGAGACCGCAAGCCCATGGCAGCTGCTGGTGCCACCACTCTGATCTGCGGGGACTGTGGCAAGAGCTTTGCCAGGAAGTCGGACTTCAAAGTGCACCAGCGGATCCATACAGGCGAGAGGCCCTACAAGTGCTCCTACTGCAGCAAGGGCTTCTACCAGGCCTCTATGGTGCGGCGGCACGAACGCACACACACTGGCGAGAAGCCCTACCGCTGCTCTGTGTGCGATAAGTCCTTCGCCCGCTCCACCTCGTTGCTGATCCATCAGAACACGCACACTGGCGACCGGCCATACGAGTGTCCCTTCTGTGAGAAGACCTTCTCTGACCCCTCCACCCTGCTCCAGCATCGCAAGATGCACATGGGCCTCAAGCCCTTCCATTGTGGCATCTGCAACAAGTCCTTCAGCCAGTCATCCAGCTTCACCTTCCACCGGGCTACTCACACCAATGATCGCCCCTTTGTCTGCTCCGAGTGCGGCAAGGCCTTCATCCGCTCCACTGCCCTGCTCAAGCACCGGCAGACCCATGTCCAGAAGGCCTTTCGCTGTGGGGAGTGTGGCAAGGTTTTCCCCAAGCTTTCAGGCCTCCGCTCCCACCAGCGGATGCATGCCCAAGGCCACCGGATAGAGATGGAGTTGCGGGAAGAGGAGCAGAACCACTGGAATGTTCCCACACTGAGGTTCCAAGCCTATGACCCTCTGCCCCAGGACTGTCCCCTCCCCAGCTTGGCTGTGCAGCTGGAATCCTAGTACTGTATATTCAACCCTGCCCAGTTTCACATAGCTGTAGTTGGGTATTGGAGATATTGCCAATGAAAATGTTATGTATGCAGGTCCAAATTCCTGTCCATCCCATACAGACCTGCTGATATTCCACTTTCTAGTACCTGTCCTTCACAACAGACCAGAATTCTTGTCCATATCACATAGACTGGCCACCTTGCTTCCTATCATACCTCTCACTTGTCCCACCTTTCAGAGCTGAATCTCTCTCCATCCTGCTGCAGTTACCTCACTTTCTCAGCCTATGACCTCATGCAGTCTGATAAGCTAGGTGGATCATGCTGGGCCAGAACTTCAATGGGAGACTTCCAGGGAAAGCACAGGTAAGGGAGGAAGAGGATTTTGGTGATTTCATCTGGCATTTTTCCCTCCAAGTCAGTACTGAACTAACTAACCTTGGTATTAGGGGCACTGAGCCTCCAACCTAGTGTGGGCATTAAAGGCTCCAAGGCACTTTTTGCAACAGTAGAAATGTTATCAAGAATGTCCTGGCCAAAAGGTGGAAGTTACCATACCAACTCTAAGAGGCTAATTAGTTGGTATGGCAACTTCCACCTTTTCATGTTCTCTATATGTATATAGATCTTCTTACTATATGTTCCATTCTACGCATCTGATGAAGCGGGCTGTAGCCCACGAAAGCTTATGCTCAAATAAATTTGTTAGTCTCTAAGGTGCCACAAGTACTCCTGTTTATTAATAAGACTGGGACTTTTCAGCTTGGAAAAGAGATGGCTAAGGGGAGATATGATTGAGGTCTATAAAATTATGACTGTTGTAGAGAAAGTAGATAAGGAAGTGTTGTTTACTACTACTCATAACACAAGAACTAGGGGTCACCAATGAAATTAATAGGCAACAGTTTTAAAACAAATAAAAGGAAGTATTTCTTTACACAACGCACAGTCAACCTGTGGAACTCCTTGTCAGAGGATGTTGTAAAGGCCAAGACCATAACAGGGTTCAAAAAAGAACTAGATAAATTCATGGAGGATAGGTCCATCAATGGCTATTAGCCGGGATGGGCAGGAATGGTATCCCCTAGCCTCTTTTCCAGAAGCTGGGAATGAGCAACAGGGGTGGATCACTTGATGATTACCTGTTCTGTTCATTCCCTCTGGGGCACCTGGCACTGGACACTGTCGGAAGACAGGATACTAGGCTAGATGGACCTTTGGTCTGACCCAGTAGGGCCATTCTTATGTTCCATCCCAGACAGATCTGCTGTTATCTCACTGGAAGCCTGATTCTAAAGTGTTATGTTCATCCAAGTAGGGAACAGAAACATGCCATAAGCCCTATTTCAGAAAAAGCTGTCCAGATGTTTTTCCCCTTTTTCTCCTCCATCAACGTTTTGACCAAAAAAAATCAGAAAATTTCAACCAACTTTTAAAATGACTGATCAGGAATTGATTGCCCAGCTCTGCCATTTGTGTCTCAGTATGGACCCTTCTCTCTGTCCATCTCTCACAGATCAATGGGAGGAGGAAGGTAAATAGAGGAGAGGGGATGTGCAGAAAGGGCTGGTTAGGTATAAAAGAAAGGAGTGATGTTTTATTGAACCAAGGGTGCGGATGCTGTCGGAACTCCAGCTTCCCCTTTTCACCCACTGGGATGGGAGGAGCTAAATACAATGCAGCTTCAATGCCTAGAGCGGAAAGTTGGGTGTGAGGAGGTGAAAAGAGACCTGAATCAGAGGGTGGGTTGGGAGGTCTTGATCACGGTCTATGCTGCAGAATTTGAAAACAGCTGCTACAGGGGAGTCCTCCCATAACTAGGTCATTTGTTTCCCCACAAAGCAATTTTCCTGTAACTTCTGCATAAGTGGAGGGTCACTGTCACCAGAATTCCCGTTTGCACACTGGAATTCATGGGAACAAAGCAAGACTTTCATTCTACTTCACAACATGAGGGGTGGCTTGCAAAATGCCAATTCCTTGTGAGCAGTTGTCACTATATTACTGAAATCTGCTTCTCCCTGGTGTAATGGGATAAGCAAGGGGGCAACACTTGCCTATGGGGAGGTGGAGCAGTTCCAGGCTTCTCACCTTTAACATAGTACCAGCCCCTTTCTTTTCAGCTTAGCTCTAAAGAAATCAAGCACCAACTTCTAGCCCTGCTCTTATCAGCTCCAAGGTCTCTGTGCTCCCTTTATGCCTGCTGAGGACCAGTCCCCACTCTCTCAAGTGTTTGAATCACTGGTGGTAGACAATGGCAGGCGTGTTTCAATCCAGCAGAGACCTTCCTCTTTTTACAATTTCAACATGGCCAGCAAAGAGGCTGCCTCTCTCCTAGTGTTCTGCACTCAACTTGCTGTCTCTGAAACCACTCGGAGCCCATTCAACCTGCAGCCCTGCCAATCTCATTTGGACCACACAGCACCCTCTCACCCAATGCTAGGAGTCTGCTGGGCAGTCTCTGGTGCCACTTGGACCCCTCCAGTTTGTTGTAAAGGGTCCTTCTAGATTAGCATGATGATGAATTCCTGCCATTTCTCTGGAAACTGTTTTTCCAAGTGCTCCCAATTCAAGTTTCGTTCTTCTTTGAAACCAGAAGAAATCTCCCATCCTGAAAAACGTTCAGCCTGGGAGTCCAGGATGATGCCCGTGTTATCATGAGCTCTTTGTATTTTGCACCTGTTTTTTCCTTTTCTTCTTCTGGGGAGAAGAGAAAAGAGTTGAACACAGACTGTAATTTACTGAAACCCAATGGGAGAGAGGGGTGTCTCCTCATCAAATCCTCCTCCTCTCTTGCAGCAAGAGGTGGCTCAGATAAAGCAGCTTTGATGGATATGGGGGAGAGAGAAATATTACCTGGTAAATGGTTTTCTTCATCTCATCAGTACCCACCCCACCCCCGTTTGGAACTGAGCAAGTGATAGGGAGGAACAGTAACATATTTGTTCCAAGATGATCTACTGAGGCTGCAGAATTTAGAGGGTGTGAAATGTCCAAACAGATGTGGTAGATCAAAGGTTAGGCAGCAGCAACAAATGGGATCCATTATAGACCCACTTGTGAGATTTCTGAGACTCCAAACTGCTAGAGGTGTGCTGGCAGTGGTAAGGAAGAGAAATCAGCCTATACATTTCATCCTCTTCTAGTCCTGCTTCCAGGGTCTCTGGCCTGGCAGTGATTGCCTCCCACTCTAGTCTTGCTGGCAGGAAGGTGGGGGCATGGAATAGGCTGTGGGCTGACAAGTAGCCACAGCTGACCTGTATGACTCTGCATGATCACTACCATTGCTTGGGCCTGATCATGTTATCAGCAACTTTGGAAGAGTCCATATTTATTGTAATACACAATTACACGGGAACAGAACATTTCCTGAGGATACTGCTATCGAGAACCTAAGCACTGCGGAGCAGGCAAGTAGCGAAGACACTGCCACCTCATTGTGATGAAACAAAATCTCTGTTACTAATCCTGTCTCTTCTCTAGCCAGAATAAAACATTCAGTTTGTGATTAAAAAACCCTTCTGTGTCTATCTAAACTTCAAGTGTCCTGACGGCTAAACTGAGCAACATGAAAGCGTGGTGCCAGACCTGGGGTGGGGTGCAGTTACTGAGACCCTTCTGCTTCCCTGGGTGCTGGAATTCAAACCCCAGCACAGAGGGGACTTGAGTGCCAGATTTTGATTGGCAGGGCGATGGAACCTTGCTGGTCCTGATGTATGTGGTTCTCTATGAACATGCAGTGTACAGGGACATGTATATACAGTAGTGTGCTTTCTGACCCACATGGCTGTATGCATACATATACCAGTGCCTAGAGGTAGGGCATAGTCTGTGATATGTGCGTAAGGGCACGCTGGAGGTATGTGCACAAGTGTATATAGTGAAGTTAAATGGCCTGTGGCATACAGGAGGTTTGACTAGAGCAGGGGTGGGCAAACTTTTTGGCCCAAGGGCCACATCTGGGTGGGGAAATTGCACGCAGGGTTATGAACGTAGGGCTGGGGCAGGGGGTTGGGGTGCGGGAGGGAGTGCAGGGTGTGCAGTGTGCAGGAGGGGGTCAGGGCAGGGGGTTGAGATGCAGGAGGGGTGTGGCAGAGGGCTCGGGGCAGGGAGTTGAGGTGTGGGGTACAGGAGGGGTTCGGTGTACTTACCTGGAGTGGCTCTGGGGTGGCAGCAGCGCGCAGTGGGGCGAAGGCAGGCTCCGTGCTTGCCCTGGCCCCGTGCTACTCTCGAAGTGGCTGGTACCACATCCCTGCGGCCCTGGGGGAGGGGGAGGCAGAGGGCTCTGCGTGCTGCCCTCGCCTGCGGGTACCTCCCCCGAAGTTCCCATTGGCTGCGATTCCCTGTTTCCAGCCAATGGGAGCTGTGGGAGGCAGTGCCTGCAGGTGAGGACAGTGCACGGAGCCCTCTTTCCCCACCCCCGGGACCGCAGGGACGTGGCTTCTGGGAGCAGTGTGGGGTCCGAGGTGCCATGGGGGTGGCAATCCCACAGGCTGGATCCAAAGCCCTGACAGGCCGTAGTTTGCCCACCCCTGAACTAGAGGATGTAATGATCTCTTCTTGTCTTAAACTCTGTGAATTTATGAATTCATTTATGGAGTGCAGGTAGCTGCTATGTACAATGGGAAGGAGCTAGTGCAGATGTGTGTGCATGTATTTAGAGAGCAGGGTTTGATTGAATTCTTGCCCTATTTTTTTTTGACTGTCAATGGGACAAAATTAAAAATATGCAGAACTTCAGCATCACTATTGCAGACACACACAAGCAAGTGATTAAAATAAAACACCTCTCCTAACTATGTCAGGTTGTTCCTCTCCGACCAACACCCAGGTCTCATGCCCCCTCACAGTCATGCCTCTTGATCCTCCTTCCTGTCCAAACCCAGGCTCCCCCAAATAAGGTGCAAGGAGTATTTCCCTGTACTCCCATATCCAGATCCAAAAATGAACTTCATAACATATTCCTCCATAACTAGATCTCCATCTCCGAATAATCATCTCTCTCATATCTTCTGTAGCCCTCTCTGGCAGCATAAACCCCTCTCCATCTGATTCCCCTCCCCCAAGGTACATTTCCATAAAAGATTATTTTAGCATGACTCATGCAACAATTATGTGATTTATGAATCAGAAATAGCATTTTGTTGTGGAACTGTCTTAAAAGCAGGCATTGTAAATTTTGAAGCCAATCTCAGAGAATAATAAAATATTACATAAGTCTTTCAAGTACTGTGACTGAATTTTAAAAGAGAACTAGTTAATTTCATGCCAACACAATTAGTTTTGCAAGCTAAAGTAATGATAAAGACTATCATATCTCATGCTCCAGGGCAGAAATTAATTGCCTCTGGGGGTCAGGAAGGAACTTTTACCTACACCTGGTCAAAAAACTTTTTTTTTTTAAAGGAGAGATGGACTTTTGAGGAAAAGGAACATTTTCATGAAAATTCTTTGTAATTTCTTAACAGACTGAACTGAAACAAACATTTTTGTTTTGGCTTTGAATTGAAAAGTCGCTAAAAACCAAACCTGAAATGCAGATTTTGAGTTCAAACAAACTAAATTAATTTTTTATTTTGATTTATTGAAAACTTAAAAACGGTGAAAAAAATTGTAGCAAAATTGAAGAAAAGTTGGTTTTGTTCGAAAATTGTCTTTGAAACACCATTCTTTGACAAGCCCGAGTTCACTCCTTTCTCGCTCCCAGAGGGAGAACTGCACAGTTGGCTAGCAGCATTGTAAGTGGGGTTTCTCATCCCTCTGGAGCTTCAGTTAATTGTCCCTGCTGGAAGCAGAACGCAGACTAGCCTCCATGGACCAAGCTGTGACTGAGCATGGCAAACCCTGTCTTTCTGTAGTTCTAAACCTGGCAGTCCTTTTCTATATTTTAATACACTTTGAAAACGTGCATGGGATAGGTGGCAGGCTGTCCAGTTTGGAGACTGAAGCCTCTGTTAATCAAGAGAACAGATACAGCACAGGCTGCTGCAGTGTGAACTTCCTTCACAGTATCCAAGCCACTGTCTCAAACTCACTCCTGAAGGGACTGCCTCTAGGAGTCACAGGAGAGTTCTATCTCCCTGGCCCATTCAGTCTGCACAAAAGCATGCAAATTAGCATTGATTGTGATGGTGGGCTTCAGAGTGGACACATGTTCTGGCCATTAGAAACTGGCCTGAAACCATTAACTCATTTTTCAAAGGCCATCGGATGAGAAATACTTTCCAATAAATACCAAAATGGGCCATTGAACCTGTGGTTTGGGGATGAAAGTGAGCAGATCAGAGTCAATCCCATGAGCAGCTATCCAGTACTCCTGACAGCCCTCTTTAAAGAGTTCAAATGCACCAGAAATAAAAATCTCAAAGTAAACATTTTTAGGTGAGGGACTGGAGGGGAACTTGGGACTGCTCTACAGGTCAGCTTCAAGAAAGCAAAATGTATCTGCTTCTGCTACCCCAAGGGAACAAGTTACAGTTGAAGAATCTCTCCTCCCTGGTATGAATAGGGATGGGGTAGTCTTTTTTTAAAAAAGAGGACCAGTGCTTTGGAAGCACAAGATTCCAGAGCATTTAAACAAAGAAATAAAGGTTAAAACTATTTAATTCCTAGTGAGAGGAGGAGAATCAGTGCTGCAGAAGTCAGAGAACTGAGTGGTGTGTGTGATCTGAGTCAGTAAGGAGAGGAAGGAGCGGGAGACCAGAGGATGACTGCAGGAAGGTTCAGACACTGAAAGAGACACACACCAGGATTTTGGGGCTGGAGTAATTGGTTTACACTGTGACTAAGCAACAATCAACTGGGGTGTACATCTGAAAGGTGTAATTAGGGAGGAAGGGAGATTAATTAGCATAATAAACTAGGGTGTAACGAAGAGCGATAGGATGGAGTCAATATAGGAACGGGTAGGATGAATATTAGGAAAAACTTTCAGACAGGGAGCTCTATCAGCCTATGGGTTAATCTCCTAGTAGAAGTGGAAGCCACCTTTCAATTCAGAGTGGACAAAAATCTACCTGGCTCAGAGTCCATTTCCATCACTGGAATCTATGGAAGGAGAGAGGGAGGAGGAGTGAACTGGAAGAATGGCTCAGTCAGGCAGTCAGACAGGGCAGCCCTGCTGTATTTCCCAGGCTGCTCTCTGTGATGCAGGCAGGAAGGTTGTGTGTATTCACAGGCCCCACCTCCTGAGGCTCTGCAGCTGCTAGACTGGACACAAAAGGGTGAGAGACACTGGTACGTTTGCCACTGCTGCTTTGCACCAAACTCCCCGCCTTTCCTCGTTCCTAACCTGGAGCAGATGATCCCACGGGGGCAGCCGCCTGGGACACACCTGTACTTAAATACCAGGGTGAGTCATTGCAGCTAGACCTGGGCTTAATGGGAAATGGGGAGAGGCAGGCCAGAAATCAATAGGGAAAGAGAAATGGGAGGGGGAGCTTTATGAAAAATATCTCAGAGGCCACAGACTGGAGGCAGCTGGGCTCTCAAGACCTGATGTCTGGTACTTGCTGCAGTCAGACCTAGTTTCCTCCAGGCAGTCCATGCATTGCATTTGGGACTAAATCTGTTTTTTCAGGCTGCTGAGGATCAGGAGCGAGAGCTCACCCTCACCCTGTGGGCAGCTTTAGATTTCTACAGAAGTCTCTATACTTGTCTCTCCCTGTGTCATACACCTGGGGAGATGCAGTGACTTAGACAGTTTTTCCCCAGGTACCAACAGGAACTTGTTTAAGACACAGAGATCCCTGTGTTCCACAGATGCCTGCAAATCCTGGAGATTGAACAGCTCTCGTAAGATTGCTGGAGTTGCAGCCAATCTCCTGTAAATTATCCAAGGAAGCTCTGGAAATACTGCAAAATTAGATTCAGGAGAAAGAAGTGAGGGAGAGCTATTTTTTGTTTGCAATTGCTGTCTGTGACCGAGACTTCATAGTGTCTGCATTCCTGGGTTGTTTATATGCTTGAGAACAAATTTTCTGCATTGGCCACTGTCAGTGGAGAGTAGCATTCCTTTGCTATTCCTCTATGGTTTGGTGTACTTTTGCCACCCTTAGAACTGACTGCTTGATTGGGTTGGCCAAACCATGTCTGTATTGCCATCCAGTAGCCTTAGAGGTATGAAGTCTTGAACACACACCTCACATTAACTCTGTGTGGGCCCTTATGCACAGCACTCTGAAGGCTGAATCAAACAACTGCTAAGTGCAGAGCCCTAAACCTGTCCACAAATTACATGCACACTCCAGTAAAAAAACCTGTGGGACCCATCACAGCATAGATCCTTGAGTGGCTGAGCTGTTCGGCGCCCCTTTTTGCTCCACCACCGGCGGCAGGTGTACACCTTGCATCCAGGGAGTTATTCCATTATGGATCTTGTCTCCAGCTATAGGCACTGTACAGTCAAGAACTTTCAGTAGTGAACAAACCCTCAGGGTGGCATCAGGCAGGTGACTTTATTAGCCTATTTTGTGGTCATTTTTTTACATGCATCTTGCAATAAAGCAAGGGAAGAGAAAGTGTTATTATTCAAGGGGAGAACTGAGAGCTCCTGATGTTCTGAAAGTCAGCTCTCTGATTTCTTGCCCTCTTCCTATTTTTATTTCTATAGCAAAACTTTGAATTAACTGGCTTCCCTTGTCAGTATCATGTCCTCAAAGCATCTGATTCTCCACAAAATAGAGAGAGACTGTGGTTTGCTTCCCAGAAATCCTCCCCAGACCTTCTGTCAGAGAAATTAACTTTTATTTCTTACCCAGCATTCTAGATGTCTTAGCTCCCTGGTAATCAAGAGAAACAGCAGTTTGATATCCAGCACCATAGTGCATCAGGGCCTCCATAATTAAGAGCATCTGTTTGCTTCCTGGTGCTCCTGTGTTTAGAAAGCAGAAAAGTAGATATGTTGTTTTAAAAACACAGAAGAGAGGCAATGGTCTTAAAATAGAAAAGATAGAAATTAAAACAACAGTACCCTGGGTTAGAACAAAGTAACAAACAGATGAGCTTTACATAGGTGAGCTTTAAGAATAAACTAAAATTAGTAACGAGGGAAAGGATTAAAAAAATATTACCAGCTAACAAGATATGTATCCCAGATCACCTCTAAAATGCTGCTTGTTTGTTTGTCTCTGTTATCATAGCCAATCTTGTGTTTTCCCTTCTCTTTGAGGAAGTAATGAGCCACCCCTTTTTGTACAGCGCCTGGCACAGTAAGCCCTTAGCCCAACTGGGAACTTTGGGTGTCAATGTAATAACGATCCCCAGCTGCTTTCTGTTCCTCACAAATGTCCCCATCCCCTGTCCATTCATCTCTTGTTCTAAAATACAGGTCACTTACCCTGAAGTCAGCTTCAGGCTGAAGGATCCTGAAAGCAGATATTCAGAAGCAGAAGTGGAAAATGGCAAGCATAGAATGCTCTGAGACACGGGACCAGGAGTACCCCAGCAGCAGTTTGGCTCAGGGATCCTATGAGGACAGAAAGAGGACCACGAACACATGGTGTGAAAATGATGATGGCGATGAGGAGGAGGAAGCTGAGGAAAGCGACAGTGATCATTTTGGGAGCGGCATGCAGAAAGACCAAGATCCGGTGTCCAGCAGCTCCATGCCGAGGGAGAGCAAGGCAGAGGACCTTCTGTGTGAGGAAGACGAGGTCTTTTATGAGACTTTCACCCTTATCAATGCCAATGGCGTGGCCAAGAAGTTGAACATGATGGTCAGTCTTCGCACCAAGAGTGATGAGGATGATGAGGAAAGCAGCAAGGAGACGTGTCAGAAGTGGCACAGCCGGCCAGTGAGGAAGCCTGCTGTTCTTCGGCGCAGCCCGCAGGGCATAAAGCACTTTGGCAGGGTGCTGCCAAGCTCAACGGAGTACGTGGACACTGTGGTTACCCTGGACAGCGATTTGGACGACCCAGCCAGGGACAGCCTGCCGTGCAATGGCATGGAAAGCATCAAGAGCTACATGACCAGGAAAGTAGAGGGAGGGGTGTTCCCAGGAAATCCAAGTATGGACTTCAGCAAGCCAGGGGGGAGCAAAGAGCTTCCCCTGAAAAGAAAGAGAGGGGTGAAGTGGCTGAACCCGAAAGCTGCCAACAAGCCAGCAGAGATAGCGGGCAGTGTCGGGGCCCTGAAAGCAGCCACGGTCAGGAGGGTCAGGATTGGGGCACAGCAGGTGGGCAGCAGCGAGGTGGAGGAGCGGCCTTACAAATGCATGCAGTGTGGACGGGCCTTTAAGAAATCCAGCAACCTCCTGAGCCATATCGACACGCACAGTGGGGCCAAGCCGTATGCCTGCGAGCTGTGCGGCAAGGCCTACTCACACCAGGGTACCCTGCAGCAGCACAAGCGTTTGCACACAGGCGAGCGCCCCTACAAGTGCCCGTTCTGCGTCAAGGCCTACACCTGGTCCTCGGACTACCGTAAACACATCCGCACGCACACCGGCGAGAAGCCCTACCAGTGCCTGGACTGCGAGAAGGCCTTTGTGCGCTCCTCGGACCTGCACAAGCACCAGCGCAACATGCACAGCAACGACAAGCCTTTCCCCTGCCAGGAGTGCGGCAAGACCTTCAACAAGCCACTCTCGCTACTGCGCCACCAACGCACCCACCTGGGAGAGAAGCCTTTCCGCTGCCCTGACTGCGGCAAGGAGTTTGCCGTGGCCAGCCGCATGGTGGAGCACCAGCGCAGCCACACAGGCGAGCGGCCCTACTCCTGTGCCGTCTGCGGCAAGTCTTTCACCAAGTCCTCCAACCTCTTCGAGCACCAGACGCTGCACACTGGTGAGCGCCCCTTCAAGTGCTCGGAATGTGGCATGGCCTTCGCCCAGTCCTCGCGCCTCAGCCGCCACCAGCGCATCCACACCGGCGAGCGGCCCTTCGCCTGCGCCGAGTGTGGACAGGCCTTCGCCCGCTCCTCCACCCTCAAGAGGCACCAGCAGATCCATAGTGGGGAGAAGGCCTACCTGTGCTCAGACTGCGGTAAGGCCTTCCGCCATGCCTCGCAGCTTACCCAGCATATGCGGGCGCACACAGGGGAGCGGCCCTACCAGTGCACCCAGTGTGCCAAGGCCTTCACTCAGTCCACCCACCTCATCCGCCACCAGGCCAAGCATGGTGCCAGCAATGGGGAGCCGTTCTCCTCTTCCGACGAGTGAGTCCCTCCCTAGTGGGGCAGCTGACACCAGGCACTCAACACACCTGTCTGCTGAGGGGCCATATGCAACAGACCTGGGCTTCATCGGGTAGAGCAAATATGAGAGAGGGTTTGTACACAACATGGAGCAGGCACCGCTCTCTGACCAAGTTGCTTGTTGACTAGGGGAGGAGATCTGCAAGTACTTATCTTCATAAATGTACACGAAAGGACCCAACCAGAGCCCTCCTGTGACAGGGGATACAGACGAGGAGAGAGATTATGAAGAATACATCCACCTTGTCATCTGTCCAGGCACCAAGTTCAGCTGTTTACCAAGATCTTCCTGCTGGACAAAAGTTCAAAAGCACATCCCAAACTGATTGACACTCCATAGCTGTTGCTCCTTCATGGGCCCTCATGCCAATTCCTGCTGCCCCTTCAAGTGTAGTTCTACTCTGAAAAGGGACTAGGTAAGAAAATGGCAGATCCGCTCCCAGTACATGTGTTCAGAGTTGCATCTGACACAACACTGCTTTTTACTCCTGTTTGCCCTGCAGAGCCAGCTCAGCTAACGGAGTGTGAGCTGGAGTCTATTCCTGCTTGTGTGTCCTTAAGAGAATGGTTAATGAAGAGCTGTCTACATGTAGAAATCATACTGGTTTCACTAAATAGATTTTAAAATATACTTTTGGTTAAAGTGATGCAAGACAAAACATACATTCCATGCAGTTCATGTGAAACACGTTGGAAGGAAACAGGATGGAATAGGGATCACTTAGGGCATGGTTTACATGTAGAGTCTCTATTACTGGTGATGATGCAGGAGAAGGAAAAAACCCTTCTTGATTCTCAGAGCCCAGGTTGCATATGCAGTTCTGTCAGCTACAAAATATATCTTATTACTTGTAAGTTGTAGACAAATCACTCACAGAATGTAAATATGGAACCCAACGATGTCATTTTTAGAGATCCCTTTGTCAGAGCATAACTGCACTTTGAGATATTATAATCTCCGTAATGAGGAGTGGCCAGCCTGTCAACAAACAGCTTTCCTGAAATACCTCTCATATGATACCATGAAAAACAAAACAAACGTAATTCCAAACAAATATATGTACTGTGGGGTACTTACAAATGAAGGCACTGGCATCATTCCCTTCTTACTGGCCTGTTGCTAGGAAAAGGATGAAAGCACTTTTTAAATGGGGTTGTGCTGGCCACGGCTGGCTGAATTATTGACACTGTACACAGTGATTTTCCAATAACTGCAGAGATACTGGGTTGCAAATGCACAACTGATCAGTTTTTGTCTCGTCTTGCGTCTGATCCTGCACTGCTGAAGCTGATGAGTGTTTTTGCCAGTGGGAGCAGGAGCAACCCCCCACTGCTCAATTCTGCACGTGAAGTATTCATAGCTCCAGATAGCTCTGCTTTAAAACATCTGTCTGTCCTCAAGACTTTCCAGCAAGCGGCATCCCAATTAAGCAGAATTAGCTTCCTGATTAAGCAGCAGTCCCATTCCTTGCTGTTTTATTACCAGTTGGCATCAGTCGGTTCCCTAATTACGCAGACTTAACAAAGTCAACTTTCTTTTATTGTCTCTCTCTCTCTGTTGGTGAAGCTAGCTTTCTGAATGTGAACCAGTCTTTCTGAGTCTGCAGACAGCCAGCTCCAATGTCTCTGCTGCTGCTCAAAAACTTTACTGGCTAGCAGCACACTGGAGTTCCACTGCTGCTTTTCAGAAACTGGTGGGCAGCAGTGAAGATGTTAGGCATCTTGTCAATTTCATGGTGCTTGAGAAAGCTAGGAATAGCCTAAGAGGTGACACTGGAGTTACTCACCAGGGAGGAGAACCCAAAAAGCAGAGGTTGTGGGAAACTTCTTCCTCTCACCTTCCTGGCAGCTGTCAAGAAGAGGATTTTCCCACCTCGCAACAGCCTGGTGGCTCTAAAGGAGTGAGAGAAGAGACAGAAAGCTCCTTCCTCCCTTCCAGCTGCTAAAGCAGGGATGGGCAGACTTTTTGGCCCGAGGGCCACATCTGGGTGGGGAAATTGCAAGCAGGGCCATGAATGTAGGGCTGGGGCAGGCGGTTGGGGTGCGGGAGGGAGTGTGGGGTGTAGGAGGGGGTGCACTGTGCAGGAACAGGCTCAGGCTGCAGGAGGGGTGCGGGTGTGGCAGGGGCCTCAAGGCAAGGGGTTGGGGTGCGGGGTGCGGCAGGGGGCTCAGGGCAGGGAGTTGGGGTGTGGGGTGCAGGAGGGGTGCAGGCTCTGGCCTGGTGCCGCTTACCTGGAGTGGCTCCGGGGTAGCAGCAGCAGAATGGGGGACAGAACAGGGGAATTGTGGCCAATAGGAGCTTTGGGAGAGGTACCCACAGGCGAGGGCAGCGCGCGGAGCCCTCTGCCCCCTCTCCCTCAGGGGCTGCAAGGACGTGACGCCGGCCACTTCCGGGAGCAGCGCGGGGCCCCACGGCACCACAGGGGTGGCAATCCTACAGGCCGGATCCAAAGCTCCGATGGGCCGGATCCGGCCTGCAGACCGTAGTTTGCCCACCCCTGTGCTAAAGGGAGTGAAAATTTATCAGGCATCTACTCATCAGAGGCTGATACAATAGATGGAGCCCACAAACACGGTCCAGGGACACTACCCTTCCAAGCAACTGGGTGCTTCATGGGGCTAAACTTCTCCCTAGGCTGTTGCCTCTAGACCTCACAAGTGGTCTCCCCCTTGCTTTCTGCATCTGTCTCCAGATAGTGCTGCATGTGTCATTCTAGGCCACCTCTCTCGCCCACCCTACATATTTCAGATATTTGCACAAACCCTTCCACATTACAGCTGCCCTTCTGTGTAGATGCAACACTTGTTGGACTGTGCCTCATGGCAGAAAGGATGAGCAACCTGTGTGAGAACTGCAGCTATTCTATAGCCAGTCACTCAGCAGCAGGAAAGGCAGAGCAGCACCAAGGAAAGCAGCAAATGTTCCATGTCTCCCCAGAGTTAAGAGTTTCAAGATCCGTACAGTATTTAGGCTCCCTAGCTGGCAGCACGCTGCACTATCCAGACAGCCCCCAAGAAATCCCTTTTAAGAAGAGTGTTTTTCATTAATTTCTTCTCCCTACTGTGCCTGACCACCTTTCGGATCTAGGAGAGCTAGATACAGCTCTGTCTGGAGCCTATCTGTGCCACCACTATCTTCCAGAGAGAAAGGGCCTCTCCAATGTAATAAAAGGAGCTCCATCATCCAAGTGCTACCTCCTTCACATCAGCAGCAGCAGCCAGGGACAAAGCTGTAGTGGACACATATGGCTCTGCTTTCCATATTCTTCCATTTCATCCTAATATTTTTGGTCCTCTCCTGCACACAAGACTCCAGCTGCTCCTGGATAGGTTACAAGATTAGTTTGGGCAGCTAGGAAAGGAGTGCACTGAACTGTCTCCATTCACTCTCACTGGTGAGGTAGGCCCCTGTCCCCCATCAGGCCAACTCACTAAGGTTCCATAGGTAGCGAGACAGCAAAGTTGGGCGATCTTTTCAGTAACAAAGCAGGCCCGGACTCATAAGGCATTTAAAATTCTGCCTGACAAGCGCAGCTCCTGATGAAAAGGTACCAAATGATTACAACAAAGTCATGAGCCAAAATGAATAAACTATCAAGAAATAAACACACACATACAGGGGATTAAAAAAAAAGGAGTGCAAAATGAACCTTTGAACAACTTAGCCACTGAGTGCAGCATCTTCAGGAGGGAAAGAGTTAAAAGCCCAATACTTTGCTTCTGAAAGGAAGGGAAAAATTCCCCTGACTGAGAGGAAGTGGATAGGACAGGCCTCACCTTCCCCTTTATTCATGTCTCACCAGGAAAGGAGGACTTATTTGCTTCCAGTTAGGAGCAGGGTCAGGGTCTCTGACCTTCTCTCTCCAGTGGGCCAGACCTATGCTATCAGCTACTGCTGCCATGGAGGAGATCTCCTGACTTCTGTACTTGACAGGATGCTTCACGTGACACTTTGTTCATGGCTCTCTAACTCCATCCTTTGTGCTGAAGCTGGTGGGCGCCACATAGAACCAACTACTTGAACACGCTGTGACATTTGAGGCATGTAACTATCTGTAAATAATAGTAATAATAATAATTAATAATAAATGTGCTCGTATTGTAATGGGGTTATATTTGCCAAGAACTGGCTGGGGAGTGGGAGTCTAGTTTTATTTTTTACACTTGCAAAGGTTGCCGTTTCTGATTATTACAAACTGGATGCTGTAATATACCATGTGGACAGAGAGAGAAATAACATTGGGGACATTGTTTTGTGTTCCCTTGAACTCCTCAATGTTTGAGCTATTCAAGTTGTTATGTCTCAAGCGAATACACCTAAAATAAATATTCTATTGCCACTCATGTATCTCCATGAGTAGCTTAAAGGAACCAGGCTCTGGCTCTCTCATGTGTCTTGTGGTATGCATTAGTTACTCCTGGGAGAATTCTGCGCCAAAAAATTAAAAATTCTGCACACAATATTTTAAAATTCTGCATATTTTATTTGTCAAAATAACACAATATAATCATGCCAGTTTCAATTATTTTGGTAATTTATTTTGAAATACTCATCAGCAACTATGTTTGTAACAATACAGATAAAAAAGATTCAAGAAATGTTTTTTGACAAACAGATTCCTTACAAGGCATATTAATACAGAACTCTGAGTAATAATTCATTTAAACTACAATACAGAACCGTATTTCCTGCATCCCTCAGAAACAATGCAAAGGCTTGGGGGAGTCAGGGGTAATGGAGTAGCTGAGGGAGAAGGAAGTAATTGCTGGGAAGGAGCCTGGGTATGAACTTGGAGGATTGTTGTGTGTGGGTGGGAGAAGTATGGAATGGGGAGTTTTTGGATGGGGAGGGATTGTTAGGGAGCCTCCACCATGCAGATCCTGGCTGACCCCTAGCCTCTCACATTCAGTCAGGCACATCTGCCCCACCCCCCATTCCCATATGTCCTTGGACCCCCATTCAGCCACCTCTCTCCCCCCATCCCCATGTATCCCAGCATCCCTGTCCCCCGTGTCTCTGCACCCGCACTCAGCCACCCCCATGTGGCCCTGCAGCCCCATCCCTATGTGTCCCTGCGCCCCACTCAGCTGCCCCCTCCCCACATATGTCCCTGCAGCCCCACCCCAGTCTGTTACCCCCACCAGCCCCATGTGTCCCCATGCTGTTCATCCCCCCATATCCTGTGCCTCCTGACCAGGCCCCACAGGCAGGGAGCTATGAGGAACGCAGCTTCTTTCTCTTCCCTATCAGCAGCTGCTCTCTGTTCTGCTGCCACAGCAGCCCCTGGTGGGTGAAAGGGCTAACTGCAGCACCTTTCTGGCAGAATGTATTTTCTGTGGGGGGAAAAAAATTCTGCACAGCATATAAATTCTGCATGTGCACAGTGGTGCAGAATTCCCCCAGGAGTAATTAATAGATAAGGTGTAAATATAGATGCATGGTGTAATTCAGTGTCTAATTCTGCACTTGGACCTGAGCCAAAGCCTGTTTATGTCCACAACAGCAAGAACATATGAGCATATTCAGAAGTGCACAAGAGCATGAAAGCATGTGACTGATCACAGATGTGTTTTTGTGCACATAGATTTGTAGGTATGAACATAAACCTGCATACACAACCTAGTGCGACCTCTTGCCCTGCACAGCTGCAGGCATTTCAATTGGACAGATTTTGAAATGAGTTTGCCACCAAGCTGTATCAATACTGGTTCTACACATGGTTCGTGGCTAACACATGGCCCTTAATATTTTGCATATACCATACTGTCATTCTGCTCACAGGCAGGGATGCAACACAACTCTAGATTGTAACTGGATTCTAACATGGTGACTCAGTTGTACAGATGGGATCAACTAATCCTCTCTCTGTACCTAGGTTATCCAGTCCTCCCACCTTCCAGTCTCTGTGAAAGAAACATCTCATAAAGTACATGTGAAAAACACCCACAATCCTATGGATTTGGTCTCATCAGCTGAGGCAGTATGACATAAGTGCTCAGATTTTCTCACAGTGCACTAGTACAATCATGGTTTGTAGCATGGTAAGCACTAATATATTGACACATTACAAAAAACTGACACATTTGCCATGGAGAATATTGCTGCGTGGGATACACTGAACCATACTAGCTGTAATTGTCTCAATGTGTATGTCAAAGCCTGAATACAATTGTACTTTAGAAAGGACCTTTTCTTTTCAGGCTGGTGGAGCAATGATTTTTGCCCATAAAGTATATAGATAGACTCCAGAAAGCAGGTAAATTCATTTTATTTTTAAAAATTAAGAAAGATGTAAATATGAAATCAAGTACCGCTAATGACTGTAAAACTCTTTGAAAATGAGTATCACGATATAATACTGTATTCAAGTGATATAATCAAGTGATATTATACAGGAAACCTGTGCAATTTCATTTTGAAGTTTGGGTTAAGAAAAAACACATGCTGTGTTCTCACTATGATTTTCCCTTCCAACAAAATAAGATACATCATATATAATTCACAATACCTATAAAACAAAAATCTCCAGAACAAATTACACAGCTATCTAATTATACTTGTTCATAGTAACATTCTGAAGTAACCTCTCTCCCCATGTGTGTCAGTATTAATCAACAGGAGAGAGAGAGAACCCATGTGAAGCACAAGCTTAAAGATCTCTGCAGTGCTACCACTGCAGATCTCTGCAGTGCACTTTTTAAGGAGTACAAAAAGTAGGTAAGACTTCAGAGGCAAATAAAATTACCTCAAGTTCTCTCAAACAGGATATGTTGAATTGCAAAAACCATCTCCACAAAATGGGCTGACCCTTTTGATAAAGCTTTGCACTGTTTTCCCCTTAGCCAACAAAGCTCTTGTACGGGAGACACTCTTCTACCAAAAATGGTCCAATTATTAAAAGGCTCTTAAGATTAAGAACCTTTTCCTGCTCCCCTTGAGGTCAAAGGGAATTCTGCTGTCAACTTGAACAGGAATAGACCCTCCAATACAGGATGAATAATTATTCCCACTTTGGGATTTAAAGTACCGTGGTGACACATAAGGTAGCAGCTGC